CTATTGTCCTCATTTTCCACTGATGTTCACCCAAAGAAGGCTCTTTTTGATCGTACAAATTTCATCACTTTGGATTGTTAAAGGGAAGAAGGAATTAAAAGTACGTTGCCGATTATTAGTGAAACGATCAAGAGGGCGAAATGTACATCTTAGGCTATGAATAAGTCTTTTTCAAGTCTCCCAGGTAGAGTAGATATATCATATCTTCTTTGATGTAAAAGCCTTTAGCTGAAGTCAATTAATTTCACATTCAATATACACTAGCTATAAATATATATAAGTGATATATATAAATATATATAAAGGATATATATATAAGGGATATATACATATCAGTGGACCATTTTTCATGATAAAATGTACAAAAAAAAGAGAAAAAAGAAAAAGAAAAAGAAAAAAGAGAGTTAGATACATTAACTAAAGTTCTTAGGCCGTGATTAACAAGGATTTTGGCATGTGAAATGTTATCTCTTTAGAGTAAGATAAGCTAAGAAATGTACATCTTAGGCCATGAATAAGTCTTCTTCAAGTCTCCCACGTGGAGTAAATATATCACATCTTCTTTGATGTAGAAGCCTTTAGCTGAAGTCAATTAATTTCATGGTCAATATACACTAGCTGTAAGCTAGATTGGCCAAAAATGTTCTTTATCCTCTTGGTTTCGAAGATGTATGTAGATAAGTTTGGCTTGAATCGCTTGACTTGCTAGTCAATAGCAAGTGGATTCAAATTAGAGCTAATTTCTTGGCAGTGTTTAGAAAATAGGCCCACTAATGGGCCGTAGCTTATGTACATAAGGGATATATATATATCATTGGAACATTTTGCACGGTAGAATGTAGAAAAAAAGAGAGTGAGATACATCAACTAAAATTCTTAAGTCGTGACTAATGAGGATTTTGCATAACGCTGCCTCTTTAGAGTAAGATAAATTAAAAAATGTACATCTTAGGCCATGAATAAGTCTTCTTCAAGTCTCCCACGTGGAGTAGATATATCACATCTTCTTTAATGTGAAAACCTTTAGCTGAAGTCAATTAATTTCACAATCAATATACACTAGTTGCAAGCTAGATTGGCCAAAAATGTTCTTTATCCTTCTGGTTTCGAAGATGTAAGAAGATAGGTTTGGCCTGAATCGCTTGACTTGTTGGTCAATAGCAAGTGGATTCAAATTAGAGCTGATTTCTTGGCAGTGTTTAGAAAATAGGCCCACTAATGGGCCATAACTTATGTACAGAAGGGATATATATATCATTGGACCATTTTGCACGGTAGAATGCAGAAAAAAAGAGAGTGAGATACATCAACTAAAATTCTTAAGTCGTGACTAATGAGGATTTTGCATAACGTTGCCTCTTTAGAGTAAGATAAGCTAAGAAATGTACATCTTAGGCCATGAATAAGTCTTCTTCAAGTCTCCCACGTAGAGTAGATATATCACATCTTCTTTGATGTAGAAGCCTTAGCTGAAGTCAATTAATTTCACAATCAATATACATAATCAATATACACTAGTTGCAAGCTAGATTGGCCAAAATTGTTCTTTATCCTTCTGATTTCTGAGAAGTATGTAGATAGATTTGGCTTGAATCGCTTGACTTGCTAGTCAATAGCAAGCGGATTCAAATTAGAGTTAATTTCTTGGCAGTGTATAGAGAATAAGGTACTGATGGGCCATAGCTTATGTACATAAGGATATATATCATTGGACCATTTTGCACGGTAGAATGTAGAAAAAAAGAGAGTGAAATACATCAACTAAAA